TAAGATCTAAAGATTAAAAGGGCTAATCTGAAAGAATCTTAATCTTTTTCTATATACTCCAATTTTTGACATCCTTTGCGATATGAATATATGCTTCAAAAGTACAAAAAGAAAAGTTAAAGATTATTACTATGTAAAATTAATCATTGTTATTATTTTTATTGCTAAATTTGATATATATATCATAACAAAAAAAAAATAAATAAATTTTAATTATTAGAACTGAAGCATTTATTTTAGAAAAAAAATTATATTAATTAATATATCTGATCTTAAAAAAATCAAAAAAAGCTTAACTGGATACTTTTGATAGGGTAATGTATTTCCAATAGATTATTATTAGAATCAAAAAAATTAGATATATATGTTAATTTAAAATAAATATATTAAAAAACTTAACACCAAATGAGAAAATAAAATTGAAATATTCTTTTTTATTAATAATGTTTTAATATATATTTATATAAAACTAAAAAAAATAGTTTATTATTATTTTTATTGAATTATCAAATAAAACTTATTTGTATTATTCAGTTTACCTGAAGTGATTTGAATTCTTTCAGATTAAATAGGTTAGATTAGATCAGAATAGGTTATCTGATTTGACCTAATCTAAAAAAATATTAGATTTAATTGAACTAAACCTGACTTTTATCTGATATAACTGGATTATCTGAAGTGATCTGAATTAAGATTAAATAAGTTGAAAAGATACCTGATCTGAAAAAACTATCAGGTCAAATTGATCAGGTAACTTGAACTGAACTGACCTATTTGAAGCTTTACTTATTATACCAAAATGTGATTTAATTAATAAAATAATAAGTTTAATTTGATCAATTTTTTAATTTTTAAATATCTAGTAAATATTTAATATCCCATAGTACTAGGGATTAACTCCTTCTTATCAATTAAATATTATTATGCAATTAATGAAGTGAACTCATTTTTTTCTATGATTTGTGTTATTCTTATGAATTCTATTTATATTATACTGAATCGTCAGTAATAATTGTATGCTTATACAGTTCTTAAAAAAAGTAATTGGAATTACAAAAAATGTAATAAATAAAAAACTAGTGATTGAAATTACTTTAAATTTTAAAGATTTGTTGATAAATATATATATTATGTATATAAAATTTTGGCTATTTATTTTATCTTCTTGTCTCACAATCTCATTTTTAATTAAAAAAATGCTAAAAATTTAAAGAATGGAAAAATTTGTTAAGTTTTTATATAATACCTCAAATATCAATGAACAGCCTTTTATATTTATATAAAAGAATTACTAATATAAAAAGTATACCTTTTAGTAGATTTATGAAAAAATTTTGATGCTATTTTATCAGTTGGTTTTCGGTAAATCGAAAGCTGACTATAAAATAACATATTAAACATATAAATTTTTTTGTATATTTGAATACTATTAATCTACATTAAATAATTTATATAATAATTTTTTATAACTATTGTAGTTTGAATTAAAATCTTAAATTTTTGTTCTTTTAGCTATTGTTAAGGTCATTTTGTAAATAAATTTTAATTTTAATTTTCTCAGCAATTAATGAATCATAAAGTATCAAATTTTTTTTCCAATGAATCAGCCTAGTCTGAACTTTGATTTTATAGCTATTTAATCTTAATAAGTTGTGGTTAAAATGCTGTATTAAAGTTTTCAGGTTTTACTGCTTAAATTTTTAACGATATTTTTTTTTGACTTAAAGGACGATTGTGGCACATGGAGATAGGATAAATAGCTGAAATTACGTATACACAATATTTATATATTTAACAACAAATCTGCAAAATTTAAAGTAATTTCAATCACTAGTTTTTTATTTATTACATTTTTTGTAATTCCGATTACTTTTTTCGAGAACTGTATATAAGGTATGATGCATTGGAAAAAAATTTTAGATCATGCTTTAGAATAATCGGTTTTTCTTACATTCTCTACAATTTAGCGTGTTGTGTTCTAGATCTGCGATTCTAGCAATAAGTTTAGCAGTTGTTTTTTTCAACAAATCAAAGCACAAATGACATGATTGATAGTAACTTTAATAAAACACAGAAACCACAAAACAATATATACGTTAGGTTCAAAAGGTAAAGCCGTAGACCCATGGGCTGTATAGTTAAATGATATCATTCAAATCTTTCTTCTAATGTAATGGTTGTATTTTATTCCGATTTAACAAATCGTATATATATTCAATTGTAGCATTACCTTTAATCGAGGGTTAACTTTCCAATTATATTATAAATATTGACATAATGGTTTATTATTATAATATATATTTATTCTATTTAGCTTTCTTTTTAAAAGTAAATTTCCTTTATATACTATAAAATGGCAATTGTACTTGCTATTCTAATTATAAAAATTATAAATCATTTGCATATCCCCTCTCTTTGAACAATATATAATAGAGTTTACAGAAGATAAATTTTTAGAATTTGAATAATAAATAGAATTTTCCGTGAATGTGTTGAATTATTTCATTTATTTTACACGTTATTATATTTGATGGAAAAGTTACATCCAAATTTTTGCTTTCTTTACATCAATTTCGCATTTACTATAGATAGATTTATTTTAGAAGATGAATCGATTCTATTTCGACAACAATTTTTAGTAAAATACTTTGGTTAATAATTGAAGAACTCTGTCATTTATGTTCGTAATGAAAAAAAATTCGCTTTCATTATTGTTGACAAAGTAATTAGAACGAAATACAATTTTGACTATTTTACTGTACTATTAGCTGAAAATGCATTAATGTGATGAATGATATGATTTATTATACTATCCAACTAAAATCGCTTTAAAACGTCACCGGATTATGCATTACAGTCAAAAAATCATTCGATAGTTAGATGATCGATGATCCGACGATCATGTTGTATAGTAGTCGAAGAAACAACTCGATTTGAAGATGATTCTGGATTAATATATCCAGCATCGGGTTTAAGAAGAATTTTTTGACGATACATGTACGCGCAACTTCCCAATAAAAGTAGACCAAATATACTTCCAAGAACTAATCCGACGATAACTCCGGCTTTATGTTTGCTTATGTTAGGAAGAATTGAATCATTAGGATTTGATTTAGATTTTCCATTACCTGAATCATTCGATGGAGATGAACTTCCAACTGCCGATTTACCTCGTATTGGTTGCATAAAATTTAATAAACTATTGTTGTTATCATCATAACTAACATCAGATATAGACATTCCTCCGATTGAATTATTCTTTGCAAATTCTAACTTCAAACGTAATGAACTAATATCTTCATAAGATACATACAAATAATTATTAGGAATAATTATAGGATTAAAAGCACTATATAACCATGGTGTCTTAGATTCATCATCCTGGCCAAAATTACGAATCCAATTAAATTGAGAATTATTATTAATAATATTACAAGATTTTGGATCTAGAGCGGAATTTGAAAGATATTTCCATGCCCATGAATATAGTTTCAATTGATTAAGATCATCGCAAGGATGTTTGATTCGTTTGGTTTGTGCCCCTAAACCTAGACTATTAACATCAAAAACAACATTTTTGGGAAATTCAACAGTTTGAGATATTTCAATTGTTTTAGTATTATCAACTATCATTTGAATAGTGTTCCCAAAATCTACGCCCATAATTATTTTTTTACTATCAATTCCACCAGTAA